TGTAAACTACAGATACAAATGTTGTAATACAGTTCTAAAGTGCTTGGGTGTGTGTGCTATGTCTATAATAGTGTGATGCAGCTAGTTTATTGATGTATCTCTCGGTTCTAGGTGCATCTGTAAAGTACAGATACAAATGTTGTAATACAGGTCTAAAGTGCTTGGGTGTGTGCTATGTCTATAATAGTGTGATGCAGCTAGTTTATTGATGTATCTCTCGGTTCTAGGTGCATCTGTAAACTACAGATACAAATGTTGTAATTGCCTGAAAATCATTTGGTTGCCTAGCAACTCGAACATTTTCTCAAGTCATCCAGACTTTGTCACGCACGCTCATCTAATGAGTTTTGTTGTCTTTCTAGGAGAATACATAAGTACGTGTTTGTTTCACACATTCGGTGCGGTTTTAAGATTCGTGAGGAGGTTCACGGGGAATTTATCGTGCTCGAACTGTGAATCCGAGGGATCATGGCGTTGACGCTGTAGTGGAGGTGTGTGCTGAAAACCGTTGAACAAAATCGAAACCACCGTATGTGATAGGAATCACGTCAAGCTGTGGGGTGCTGTCGCACCTTTAGCACCCCCGCACCTTTGGTTCATGGCTTACAGCGCTATGGGAGTAATGGTCAAATCCTACTATTCTATCAGATATGAGTAGACAAGAGTAGGCGGTAGGTGCTATTGTCCAGCTGCCTTCCCTATTTGTTAAATTTAGAGACGACTATGCGCAGATAGGCCTTTGTTTAGTTCTGCGCAAAAGTTGAAACAAACAGCTAATAGAGAATTATCGTGAAAAAACCGAGTATTTCCGATGTCGAACGAACTGTCTAGTACCGAGTATTTCCGATGCCGAACGAACTGTCTATTAAAATATCTATGAGGTGACGTAGTTAGTCGCCTAGGAAACTACTGAAGGCTACGATGATTTATTTTGGTGTGAAACACTCCTTAATGTAACAAAAGTATATATATATATATATATTTTTTTTTTTGCAGCGGTGTTAAACTTAACAAAGCAATTAAAATCTTAATTTAAACTTCATTATTTTTTTTCACAGTTTTCTTAACTTTCCCACTAGGAATTTCGAATGTTTTTAACTGCCTGAGTGCCACCTGGTGTGAATAATAATTTTTCTGGATTTCTTGTATTTGTCATTTGTAGACCTTTTCACCGTACGAGAGATAACGTTAAGTTAATCAAACAGCGATATATGTTGGCTAAGAGTGCCACCTGGTGTGAATAATAATTTTTCTGGATTTCTTGTATTTGTCATTTGTAGACCTTTTCACCGTACGAGAGATAACGTTAAGTTAATCTAACAGCGATATATGTTGGCTAAGAGTGCCACCTGGTGTGAATAATAATTTTTCTGGATTTCTTGTATTTGTCATTTGTAGGCCTTTTCACCCTACGAGAGATAACGTTAAGTTAATCTAACAGCGATATATGTTGGCTAACTCGAATAATCCAGCCTTTACATTCCGCCGCTCTGTAATACTTTACGTCTTGACGTCCAATCAGGAGAGTAGGCATAACTGAGTTTGCGCAGACTTTTCTTTCTTTCAGATGTTTATTTACAAAATGAATGAATGTGTTGTTGAAATGATAAAGATGATGTGTTTGTCAAACACGTGCCTCCAATATAAATATTTATCTAAACGCATTACATGCTCTATTTAACTGTTATGGACAATTTCTAAACACTTCGATTTTTTTTCATCATTGACGAAAGCCACATACAATTTATAGAGACACCTAGTGATTCCGTTTTAACGAACATTTTAAGGCATGATGCTTTCAGACGTTAATGAAACAATCAGACTACGTCTGAATATAATTATTCCGGTTAGATGCAGACGTAAGTAACTAATACATAAACGTGGTGAATGTAAGCCTCCAGGGGGTGGTTGTTTATTAAAACTTTATAACGCAGGGTATTTTGTGTTGTTGTAACTTTTTACACGAAAACAAATGTTTAAATAGTTGTTTTTTTTATCGATATCTTTTTTACTTTCCAGGTGATCAGCTGTAATAAAAACATATGTACACTTCAGATAACCGACACTACGGGAAGCCACCAGTTTCCAGCTATGCAACGCCTCAATATTTCCAAGGGTCATGCTTTTATTATGGTGTACTCTGTTACAAGCAAACAGAGTCTCGAGGAGCTAAAAGCTATCTTTGATGTTATTAAAGAGGTCAAAGGTGATTTGGAGGGAATCCCTCAGATGCTGGTTGGCAACAAATGTGACGAAAGTGAAGTCAGAGAGGTGGACAGTCAACAGGGGCAGGACCAGGCTCGTCGTTGGGGGTGTGGCTTCATGGAAACGTCAGCCAAGACGAATTACAACGTGAAGGAACTTTTCCAGGAACTATTGAACATGGAGAAGAGAAGGTCCATGAGCCTTCATCTGGACTCCAAGAAAACTCGTTCTCAGTTCAGGAAAGAAAAACTAAAAGGGAAATGTGTCCTGATGTGAGGGTCCAGACAAGGGTTAAACAAGCCATAGTACCTGACTCACTTTTATTGGCAGACGTTTATAAATACTTTAAAAAATGTGATATTTTTAAAGGTACTGAAAACTCTTATTAAGTAATGTTTTGATGGGCTGGCAATATATTTCAAAGGTATGAAAAAATCATAATACACTTTGCGACAAAAAAAAAGTTCTTAAATTTTTGTATACGTTCAACCGTCATTGTCAAGGAGCTTCTAGAGAGCGTGGCCTTGCAGTAAGCGTGCCGAACTGTGAATCTTAGGGTCCATGGTTCGCATCCCGCTGCGCAAAATCGCGCTTCGCACTTTAGAAACGTGTGTGCGTTATAATAGTAAAGGTCAAATCCCACTATTTGAGAAAAGTAGTTCAATACTTAGCAGTGGGTGCAATCTACATTCCTCTAGTTTATCAGTACCAAATAGTCTTAGCTTTGTGCGAATATATGAATCAAACGAAAAGTGTTTATTTTTTGGTTGTTTTCTAACAGCCAGAAGAAATTTCAGTTAGTAGAACAGTAATGTTTGTTACTTATAAAAACATTTCCAGTACTGTAACAAATAATAATGTTTGTAGTTAGACAAACTTTATAAACTATTTATCTTTTAATAACAAAAAAAGAAGAGATTAAAAAATCAGAAATAAAGAACCCAAACTTCTAAACATAATATTGTTTGTTATAACAACCCAGTTTAAAAGATCACATTGAGAAAGATAACAAAAGTAATATTTTATATTTAATGTTACGATGATTATCTACTGGGAGAAGTAACAACGTCTTCCATATTAATGCACTTCGAGGCTTTACTTATAATATAAAATTTATCTTCACTAGTACATCATCTTAATTTGATTTTGGACCCTCGTCACAGTTCATGTCACCACGTCTGGACACGTTCTATCTGACGACCGTGCGTCTTTAGTATAACCCTGTTGCGTAGTTCCCATATAAAAAGCTCTGTCGTAAGACTGTCATGTTCGAAGCACATCCCTCATTCCGGCAAGTTTTCTATAAGCCATCTAGTATACGAGGACAAAGACTTCCTAGCGCCCGTTTTAATAGTTCGATCGCACAAACACCCATAGTCGCTGCATCTAACGACTTGATATGCCTTCATATGGAATTATATCCGTTTCATTCTCCACCTGCATGAGGTATACGATGGTTAAACAAATACGTTTATTTACACATGACTTGTGTCGATTTTATAGACCGATATCCTTGTTGATTAAATTGTGTACTGTTGCCCGGGGGAAGGCTTTTGCTGTGGATTCTCATCTAACAGAAGACTCCGCATTTTGCTTACCACAGTTGGCATGCGATTTATTTTGGGTATCTTTCTGAATGGACCTGGTGCCCGACGTATATGTACCTTTATTTATTTACCAATGGTATTAAATTCAAGATCTAAACACATCTTTATGATCTAAGTCTACGAATAGGGAAAGGAAGGTTATATATATCATTCCCAAGAGCGATCAGGTTTTGGTGACATCACACCACCTATAAACACCATACAATGTCAAAATGTAGTTCTGATACATTCCGTTCTATGTCGTCTGTGGTTGACACGCAGCTATTTATTTATGTATTCAAAATCTGTTTATTATAACGTATTCAACCCTCCATAGGTGTTTCTTGGCAGTGTACCTAACTCACCACAAGGTGTCTGCTGCCTTTTGTCTCGGACTAGGTCAAATCACCCCATAACTAAAAAGGCTTGATTTCTTTTATCTTTACTTTAGGTTAAGGATCCCCATACGGAGTCGTCGATATTCGAACCTATATTTTTAGAGCGACAGTCTCAGTCCTAGTGGGAAAAAAAGAAAACAAATTCACAACATGTACAATGTTGTTAGGCCTAGACTTTTTGGATATCATTTCCTGCTGTAAACAAACTTTGTAAGTAAAACTGGCCACTTATCAAAGCGTTTTCTTAAGTTATTGGTGCCTACAGAAGAAAGATACGTGTTATAAGAAAACTGTAAACAAATCAAGTATCATACTTAACTATTTGTTTTTACTCTTGTACTATACGTTTCTACGTACAGTTATTTACCAGTCAACGGTAAGTATACGTGCTTATAACACTAAAATTTGAGGTACGATTCCTTGCGGTGGACAGAGTGCAGATAGTCTATTGTATGGCTTTGCGCCAAAACAAACACAAAATGTTAATAGTATGTCTCTCAGCTAGTCAGCGGTAAGTTTATGGGATTACAACAGTAAAATCCGGGGTTCGATTCCCCGTGGTGGACAGAGCGCAGACAGCCAGTTGTGAAGCTCTTCACTAAAAAAAAATTCATATTAGTAGATCGTTAATTTATCCTATAGCAACGACGAAATATAGGTTTTAGCGTAGTGCCATTTTGATGCTTAAAATATTCTTATTACACTTATTTATTATATTATACTACATGTGTTTCGTGGAGGATTATTTCTCAAGATGTAAATATTGTTAAACGTGAGTTAAGGTTTCTGTAGATTATATATACAGACAAGAAACAGTTGAGATTTTCAAATAGTAGTACTAGTATATATATTGCCTTATATCAATTTCGTTTTAAAAATAAACTAACACGAGCGTTGTTAATGATGAGCAAAGCCCAGAAATAAGTGGGACCTATAAGGTAGACAACAAAGTGTACTAATTGTTTTCTTGTTCGTATGTTAATATTTACGTTCCGAAGGACAAAGTTTGTTGAAAACAGAAACGTTGTTAGACTTATCATGTACATATTTTTTGACACATTAAAAATCTCACCTAATCAACCTTGTTGTTTTTCTCGTCATATTTATTTCAAATCTTAAACACACACACACACACAAATATATATGTATGCTGTTATGTAGCCATGGAAACCATGAGTTATTAATATGAAGCACGTGATTGCGTTATAAATAGTAACCATGGAAACTTTGCAGCATTAACGCTTCCAGAACTGGACTTAAAACGGATTGTGAGCGTTTGATATCAGTACGTTTTAACCGAACAACTCCCCCCTCCCCCCCCCCAAGTTTTAGTATTTTGTTTCCTCGTTCAACAAATGTTGCATAATTTAATACGTTTAATAATTTATGCAAAAATTAAAACGTAAAAAATGTATTTTATAAGAACGAGAATGTGTTATATTTTGAGATAGCGTTAATAAACCAGTTTTAAAAATATTTTGAAGACTAGAGAAATTTTACATTGTTTATTCCCAAATGAAATAATGTTGATGATGGTTATTCCTATTATCTTGAACGGGTTGGCATGACTCGAATCCTGCGGGTTACAGGTTCGAATCCCCGTTATCAAAAATGCTCGCCCTTTCAGTCGTGGGGTCGTTACAATGTGACAGTAAGTCCCGCTGTTCGTTGACAAGAGAGTAGCCCAATAATTGGTGGTGGATGGTGTTGACTTCCCTCTAATCTATTGCTGCTAAAATTAAGGACGGATAGTCCTCGAGCAGCTTTGTCCGAAATTCAAAACAAAACAATCATCATTATTGTTTACTTTCGCTTCAAAGTCAACGGTTGCGATTCGTACTTTGTGCCCTATATATGTTATCAAGAATGAAGGACAAGAAATGACAGCAAGCCAGGTGGGTGGGGGTAACAAACAAACCCACCACTCCCGCTGGAGCTCCGCTCGCCTGTTAACATTCCCCCCCCCCTTCTTTGTTTGTGCCCTATATATGTTATCAAGAATGAAGGACAAGAAATGACAGCAAGCCAGGTGGGTGGGGGTACAAACAAACCCACCACTCCCGCTGGAGCTCCGCTCGCCTATTAACATTCCCCCCCCCCCTTCTTTGTTTGTGCCCTATATATGTTATCAAGAATGAAGGACAAGAAATGACAGCAAGCCAGGTGGGTGGGGGTACAAACAAACCCACCACTCCCGCTGGAGCTCCGCTCGCCTATTAACATTCCCCCCCCCCCTCTTCTTTGTTTGTGGCCTCTTATTGTATAACTAATTACTTTCACAACCAATAAAGGAACCATTGCGTATTTCGGAACTTTTTTCGCCCCTGGAAACTGAAGTTCCACTTTATACCAAAATGAATCCCCCACTTCCAGACATGGCTATGGGCTTGATGGTGCCCATATATCCGTTCTTCACTAGTTTAGCGTTCAACTCACGAATTGTGAAACAAACAAACTCAAGTGGTTTCCCACACTCCTAAGGAACACCGACATCCACGCAGGGAGTCCGAGTTTAATGCTGATAACAACGGTCTGTTATTTTATCATCTCTCTACAGCTATGTACGTCTTATACGCTGGTATAAAAACACAGCAGGCTAGTCAACATATGTCTGGAACGTGGGATTATTAATGTTTTCTTTATTCAACTCCCAATAACACAACAAATGCACATTATCTGAAGCTTGTAGTTTTCAGAGTTTAGGCCTTATACTATCATTTGTTCTTCAGCCATCAGGATATGTATGTATATCATAAAAAAGCAAGAAAGTTACAATTATAAGGTTTTTTTTTTCCTTAGTTAGAACAGAAAAAGAAACAACTATTTTTCTACACAACAGTCGTGATGTCTAAATAATGTAACTTAGCAACACGTGCGTCATTGTACGATAATTTTATTTTGATCAAAATAATACTGAGTAAACACTTTTTTTTTTTCTGAAACATTATTTTGGTAACAGTCAAAACATTTTAGCGGTTGAAGAGATGAAATAATAATTCTAGCGAAACAGAAATATAAGACGATTGTGGAAATTTAAAGAAACATGTACAATTTTCACTAAAGTGATCACTCAACCAATTGAAGTATTTATTTCGTAAACTTTGAAATTCCACAAAAATTGAAATGGATGTTCCTTACAGAAAAAAAAGTTAATTGTTAAAGTTTCCAATTACGGCTATGGTTTGTGTTTTAGTCGAACGCTCGTGAAGAAGGTGAAGCATTGAGATTTTAGACAAAGAAAAATAACAAAATAACGTCTTTTAAACACCAACATGCACTACAGCAATCAATTGAAGGTTTTCAATTATACGGGTCGCGTCTGATACAAGGAAGACAAATTAAGTGAAGGTTTTCAATTAGACGGGTTCACGTCTGATACAAGGAAGACAAATTAAGTGAAGGTTTTCAATTAGACGGGTCACGTCTGATACAAGGAAGACAAATTAAGTGAAGGTTTTCAATTAGAC